CAGGTTGTCGAAACTTCGGGCTGAGCTTTAATCAAGGTGTAGCTTATACCTGCTTGCTAGTCTTGCGCACCTTCATAAGAGTTACGATATCAACAAAAATAATAATTGTTACCAAAGTCATATCCTTATATTCATCAAGGTACATACATATAACTTGGCACTCCTGAAAAGTTTATCTCTTTGCGCACGGTTCATGAATACTTGAAAACTCACCTCTGTCGGTGCAATTATATAAGCCCATATACTTTCTTCATAAATTACGCAATCTCCTGAAGAATGATAAGTATTTTTTAAGTTTCACAGAAATCCCTAGAATCTGGAACCTACTGTAGGCGAAAGAAATAAGACATCTTAATATGGCTATGAACCATGAAATAGCAATGTATACTTTTGTGTTAGAGCGACTAAAGGGAAATACAGTTAGTATTTCCGAATGGCAACTGTTCATACAACTTACCCAAAGTACTTCTCATATTTCCAAGGTAAACAAATGGCACACATTCGATTTAGTGCTATAATCAAATGAGAAAATATACAAATATCATAGCACGTTACTGCAATCATGCCGAATCGTTTTGAGACCCCTTTGAGGGAATCAATGTTGCTGTAAAGTTAATTTAGTATCTTACTGACTGTTACAGTGCGCATTTCTTACAAAAACACCATAGGTGAATAGTAGAAAGCGAATGTTGCACAAAATATTGCATCTCCAGTTGCTTGGCTCGTCAAAAGCAATCCAAAGGAGTTCCGCATTGATAAAAGTCGTTGTGATGTTGTGGCGACGATTATGTTCGCTATAGTTCCGATGAAAGAAATCTAAATTAGAATACTCCTACAGTAGTTGGTAGCTGCAGGATGCTAACAGGCTGACTACCATCTTCATTTCTGAAATTTTTGAAGAGAACAATTAATCTATGAGTTTTTTTTTGTAGAAATTGATGGCTTACAGATTGTTATTGTGTAAAACACTGTCTAACGTTCGGCTATTGCCGTCTTCGGAGTTTTGAAAGAATTCAGTCATTCTGATGTAGATTTTTAACCGCCTATTATTCCTCTTTCCGCATGTATTTCATGTCTAAAGTGTAGATAGTGCATTTAGAAGGTAATTCTCGCCCATGAACAATCCCTATTAAAACAGCATATCGAAAATTCAGGTGTTTGGCACCCCAAGTCGCTATCTCTATCCCAAGCGAATTGAACAAGTGTAAAATAGAAGGTCTTAGCAGCTAGAGTGTAACTTAAAGCGTATGGTAGAAGGAGTTTGGCAGCTAGAGTGTCACTTGCGACCGATTTCTCCTCAACCTCTAAAGACCGGCCGAAACATTGCAATGGAGGCTTCGCACAGTAACAGCCTGTACATCATCGAAATCACTACCATTCGACTACAAATTGTCTAGATTGTAAGGTATACATACAACATACTCTATAAGGAAAATTGTTAACGAGTAACTTTTATCTATATAAATGGCTATGTTTGGCATTAATGCTG